CAGGTGAAATTAATTTAGTATTTCTTATTTAACCCACTATATCCAAATATCATTTCAACAAGATTAATATATAAAGATTATGAATGACGCTGCCTTCCTTCCTTCCTTCCTTCCTTCCTTCCTTCCTTCCTTCCTTCTAGAGATATTTGTTAACTGAAGAGATCACACCAGGCATAGTATATGCATCCTTAAAGACTGCATTGGGATGTCTTTCTTGAGCTTTTTTTTTGTTGGGGGAGGTAACTGGGGATTGAACTCAGGGGCACTAGAGTCACATCCCTAGCCCTATTTTGTATTTTATTTAGAGACCAGGTCTCACTGAGTTGCTTGGTGCCTTGTTTTTGCTGAGGGCTGGCTTTGAACTCAGGATCCCTGTCTCAGCCTACCCAGCTTCTGGGATTACAGATGAGCCCCAATGTACCTGGCTTTTTTTTTTTTTTTTATAAAAAAGGATAAAGCCAAATAGGATGTCAATACCAGGAGATGTATTCACAACTAGTTAAGAAATTGATTAATCTGCAAAGAAGCCTGATTAATGGATAGTTGACACTGTTGATGTATAGTTTTGGAGTCCTACCAAATAGATTGTGCCCTGTCCTGGTCAAAAACCAACAAGAGTTCTTTGAGTGTCTTTTCTGTGTCAGGTACTATGCTGAGTGTTAGAATAACGCTGGCTTATACATGTTAAGCACTCTACTAAACACTTTCTAATCTTATAAAATCATTGAAATATATTAGATTGGTATTTTATCATATTAGACTTAGCATCTCTGTTTTATGTAGAGGAAAAGAAAATCAGAGAAGTGAATTAGCTTGACTAAGGTTGATCTCACAGCTAGCTAGTAAGTGTCAGTGCCCAGATACAAACCTTGCTTTTTTGACTCCTCTTCACTGCCTATTTTTTCATTAATGATTAAAACAAGAAAAATGAGTCAATAGGCATATAAAATGAATGTGGAAGAGCTATTGATCTGTGAACATGCTTAATGACAGAATTAGTATCCAAAATAATTTTAATAGCCTGGAGCAAATTTAATCAGAGAACATTTAACAGAGATCCATGTGAAATTCTGAGCTTGGTTCCAAATGCCCAGCTGCACAGGGCAATGTGGCTTAGCAGCTGCATAAGCTCAATGTGATTCAATAGTGTGACATCGCTGCCCTCAAAGTGAATGAAAACGGATGCCATGGTTGTACAAATCTAGTGTCCCAAACAAGGGGATAGATTATTCTGGCCAGGCTACAATTAGAATATGTGAGGGGTTCTGTGCTGCACACCTTTGGAGGGGCATATACAGGCTTACCTAGACTCATGAAAAGACCCCAAACCATTGTTCTTTCATTCTTGCAACAAGTATATTTTGAAAGCCTATTATGCACAGGCATCGTGTTAGGCACTGGGGAAATGTTTGTTTACAAAACAAACCCTTTGTAGCTTGCATTCTAACTGTGCAGACACAACACAAATGCATGAACACATAAGTTAAATATTATAATGTCTAATTGTGTTAAATGCTTAAAGAAATCAAGCAGTGTTAGGGGATCATGAACAGGGAAGGGCAATTTAGATAAGTGAGAGAAGGCATCTCTGAAGAGTTGTCATTTGACAGGAAACCTGAAATAACCATGGAAAGGCACTGTAAATGAAAGAAGAAAAGTATGTGCGGGTGGATAAGAAAGCACAAGACCCTGCAGTGGGAGTTGGCTTCATAAGAAGGAAGGAAGAAGAGAGAAGGATCTGGAAGGTAGCTGAGGAAGCTACTGTGATGTTAGCAGACAAAGACACAAGAGGAAAAGTAGGACTGGGCTATATGAGAGGTCAAGTGACTAAAGCTTTTCATTAAAGACAGACTGACTAACTCGAGTAAGAAGAGAACAGACAATTAGAGATGGCAAGGTGGAACTCAATGATTTTGTTGTTCCTTGTGAGAATCACTGAAAGATCCTGAAGACATCAGGCCTTGGCAGAAGAGTCTTAGAGAAGTTTTACTCCAGGGATCATTGTGGACTTCCTAAAGACTGCCTAAAATCAAATCTACAAGAACACGGGGTCCTAGAATCTGTATTCTTGGCAGTAGGAGTTTCTTATTCACCTTAAAGTTTGAAAACCACTGATTTAGGGATTTCTAGCTGCCAAGAAATGTTTACAAGGCTGTTCTGCATCTCTGCTGAGAACTGATGAGCAAAGGCTAAAAGTAGACAGATTTCTAATATGTGCATGATTGAATACTTAAATGCTGGTCATCTGAAGTAGAGTTATTTCTGAAAGAAATGAGTTATCTTCCATTGAAGTAAGAGACTGAATACTACTCTTTTTCAAAATTATTTGGAGGGAGTTAAAATATATGACATGAGAAAAGTGTTGTACCAATTTATCTTTTTTTTTTTTCTGGGATTGAACCCAGGGGTGCTTTACCACTGAGCTATACCCTCAGTGCTTTTTATTTTGAGACAGGGTCTTGCTAAGTTGAGACTAGTCTCTAACTTGTGACCCTCCTGTCTCAATCTCCTGAGTTGCTGGGATTTCAGGTATATGGTACTGCACCTGGTCCAAATAATCAAATTCACCTCTGTATTCCATCATCGTGAAAAAAAAATAGTAAAACTTTTTTCTTAAAAAAATTTTGTAGATAGAGGAACGCTAGCTCAAACAAGTCATTTCTGAGTTTGATTTGACTTTGAAAATGGAGGGAAAAGTTGCTTCTATTTTGCTGAATTCCAGAGTTGGTTAGCATGTCAAGTACCTATGAAACACCATCTATTAAGTAAAGACAAGGTAAAATTAAAATTTTACTGAATACTGGCAAAAGAAAAGAAATCTTTAATAACTGAGAGAAAGTGTTATGTTAAAGTTAGCATGCTTCTACTACAACATCTCAGGAATATCCTGGAAGTCAATTTCCTTGCTGTTATTATATAATAGTATTATTATTAAATTAGGGCAAAAGCACAAAGTCAGAGCAGATATCTTGGATATGTTGGCAAATGAGATGTTCCAAATTGTGTGTCACACAATTAGCCTGGTGGGTTTTTTAGCTGGCCCATAACATTTCCTGCATGCAACAGAGGCTGGGCTGTGGACCTCCTCATTTGTTGAAACATATGCATTATTGTTGAGCTCACCACACAGCTGTGGGGGGAAAGCGTTGCTCACCCTAGGGTTATAACCCCCTTCTCTAAATTACTGTTTACTGATGTGGGAGAAAAGGACTCCTGGCATAGCCCAATAATTACTCTTGGCACAGCTCAATAATTAATGAAGTGTTAAAAAGACTCTGTTGAAGTTTGTGCATCTGCTATGGAGGGTGCGAAAGTACAAGAAACTCGCCTGTGTCGCCAAGTCAAAAACACACATGGCCTTCCCTGTCCTCCCAGGAGAGGACCCAGTGGGGGATGAAGAAGGGTGAGTGAGTCAGTGAAGGAGAGAAAGGGGACTCATACTACCAAGCTGTTTTCAAGTTTCTGTGGATAGAGAAGCCCAAGGTGGTAGAGTTGTAATTTTCCAGTTTTTTCCCCCTCCCCTGTGATTTATAGGTAGGTCTTTGAATATGTGAAAAGAAATTTGTATGCAGAAACAACTGCTCTTCTCTCTCCATTGGTTGTAATACAGTACTTGTAAAATCAGCAGTTTAAAATAATTTGATGATAACGCAAGGACAAATAATTACTGCCACTAGTGTGGTATTTATCTCCTGAAGTTTTATGAGGTTGCAGGCTGGCATCTCGCCTAGTGAATAAGATATCAAGAGTGCTTTTTTAGCTGCAAAATTAACAAAGGAAGGAATAAATATTATTTTTTTTTCCCCCTCAAAGGTCCCTGTTTGGAAGAAGCCCAAGGATTAACTCTTTGTGCCTCAGCCTGATTTCACAGTGTGTCACCTCTCGCACTTGTCCTCATCAATCATTGACACAGGACCAGGCCTCAGACAGACCCCAGGGCTTTCCCAGGAATCCCTGCTGCTTGGTTGGAAAGCCAGGTCCAGACCATGGGGTTCTGAAACACAGCTCAGGTACAAGCTGACTCTAGCTCTAGGCCAATTTCTTGAGCAAAGGGTCTTTGCTTAACATGCAGAATGGAAAAGAATATCGGGAGGAAGGGTTCATGTTGCCTCAGTCCTCTGCTTCCTGCGTTTTCTCCTCCTCCACCCCATTCTTTAAGTTCTAGTTCAAAGTAAAAGAAATACATGTGACAGGTTCTGTTTTACAAACTCTGTTTTGGTTCGCTTGGTGATAACTTGAACATTATTTCCCATCCCCGGGCCTGTTACATTTCTTAGTGGTCACAGTTTTTGTGTGTGGCAGCTAAGGGGGGGTATAGGGCAAGGAGTAAACCTTGAAGAATTAAGGTGCAGCCTGCCCTATTTTTCCCCTCCTCTTTAATATGAAAGTGGTTACAGGCACATTTTTTTCTTTTTTTCAAACCTCTCAGCAGGAATTACAAAGTTTCCCCAGTCGTCACCTAGCAACAGAAGCCAGCAAAACATTCGCAAAGCGGTTTTTGCAAGGCAGCCATCACTGACTGGCAGGGCTGACTGGTGGACGGCTGAATTTGCTATGGAGGGAAATTGAATGCTTTCTTCTGTGTTCAAGTAGAATGCTGAGATGTGCAGTCTGGACCTTGCTTGAACCAAATTAATGTACATTAAAGAACAAACCATAATGCCCATTGTGAATCGGAGGTCAGAGGGATTCAACAGAATTTGATTATGGGCTTATTCTCATTGAAAGTATTTAAATTGAACTTTTAAAGTAGTTGTTTTAAATAAAGCAATCTGAGATTGATATAACTATCCCTTTATCTTTCCACATTAGATTAAATATTCTGGACCTTTGGATTGTATAAGAAACCTTAAGTCTATTGGGTAATAAGTTCAGAATTCAACAGAAGATTACTTCCCTGAAAATAATATTGATAAAAATCCCCCTTTGGAAGGAGAGGAAATCTGCTTTGTCTGCCTCTGACTTCTACTCGGTTAGCAGCCACGAAGAATATGGTACTTTGGAACTTAGTTATAATATCCATCTGCAGGCTCTGCTATGGGCCTTTTCCCTTAGAAGTAGGACTCTCTCTTTTGCTTTGTTATATAGTTGAGAACAAAAGACCATATTCAAACACATTTCAATTTTTGTTTTTGTAATAAACAGCCAGGTGTGGAGATCAGTACATCAAGTCGTGGACCCAGACCCTGGAGTATTGATTTGTACTCCTCAGGAAGGGTCTCCCAAGTTGAGACCTCTCTGTTAACAGCGGAGGAGTTTCTTTAGCTCAGTACTTCAAGGGACAGCAGCAGGATTTGTTGAGTGTAAAGACACCACACTCATTGACAAGAATTCTATGAAGTTTGTTCCACATATTTTCAATATGTGCATGAAGAATAGAGTGTGTTCTTATGTCATGCTTCAACTTTTGTTCACTGAGGAACTGGTGACGGCTCAGGAACTCATGGTAGGGAACATTATGATTCAGATTAGATTCTCTTCCGTGTGTCCCATGTGCTTGCTGTTGCCTAGGATGCTGATGTTTTGTCAGATCCCATATTGTTAATGAGGAAGTGGCTCTGAACATTTTCCCATGTCTTTGCTCAAAAGGTGTCTTTGAAGTACGGAGTCTATGCCCTGTGAAATGTTAGTGGCTGGTTTTATTTGTTAACGAGAATGATACTCCAGTTCTGCCATCTTGAGTCTCCTTTTAGTCTGAACTCTCAGAAAACCTTGTTTCTACCTCAATCATATCTTCTGCAGCTGTAAGAACAATGTTGTAAATCTTTGCTACTCCAAGTGTGGGCTGCAGATCAGCAGCATTAGCATTATCTGGGAGCTCTTTAGAACCATCAACTCTCAGGCTCTATCCAAGGCCAACTGAATTAGAAGCATGGATCTTCCAACTGACATTTCCCCTCTGCAACATTATTAGCCGCTCCTCACTCTCAACAGTCCTGAGGTGAACTTGGAGACTGAGTGAGGAGCAACAAATAGACTTGAACAAAGAGCTAACTGGTTTCACAAGACAATTTAGTGGCTTTGCATGGTACAGTATACTATCATGTTCTCTCTCTTTTTAAAAAAATTTTATTGATTTTATTTGTTTAAATACATGACAGTGGAATGCATTACAATTCTTATTATACATATAGAGCACAATTTTTCATATCTTGACTATCATATTTTCTATGCTGTAAATCTTGCTACCCATACACAAGGAAAAATTTCACACTTTGTCTTATATTATAATTATTTTTATATATGATAACTCTTCTGTTAGATGACAAACTTTTAGAGGCAAGCAAAGTGCTTATATTGACCCCTCCAAATCCCCAGCCGTGGGGTTTTATCATAACAGGAACTCAATGAATGATGTTTGGATTGAATTGGTAACATTTACCAATAAATGTAGTATACTGACAAGGGTTACTTATAAGAGTCTCTGCATTGATTTTCTTGGAGGAAATGAGGAGCTCCATAAGGATATAGTACAAAGCATTGAGGGAAAGTGCCTTAGTAACTGTAGATATTTGGTTACATTTTGAAAGGTATAGTCTGGTCCAAATGGATCCTTAGATATAGTCCTCAAACCAATAATGCTTTCATAATTTGGGGGATCCTTTTGATTTTAGGTACCCAAGGGTTAGATACACACATATGATCCTAAAGAAGGAAGAACCTCTAACAATGGAGGAGATGTCATTTTAAGTTTTCATGACTCTATAAATATTTCTTTTAGGGGGTGAAGAAAACCAGATTTATTATTATGGGTGCAGGAGGGAACTGGTTTGTGGAGAAGACAGACATTTGGAAAATAATTTTATTTGTGTTGGACATTGAGTAATGTATTGTTTCTTTGTACAGCACGAGTTACCCAATGTATGTAGATCATTTAGTAGAATTATTGATTGTAGAAAATATCTAAAGTCAAATCCAATTCAGATTTTGTAATTTCTAGTTGCCTCAATAGATTATATGGATGAAATACTGACATTTTGGGACACATGCTTATTTATACAAAGTGGAGGAACATGATTACATTCTCAGCCACACCACCCTCACATCCACATATATGTAATAAAATGGCAATTTGAATTAGTGGAGGAAAAAAGGAAATAAAAATTCTGCCATGTGTTATCTTAGCAACCTAAATTAGGAAAGAAAACTAAGCATCAATGGGCAACTTGGTTCTACTTCACTGTGAAAGCAAAAGGTAAGAGGACATTTAAAAGTTCATACAAAGTGCTGCAGACATCATCTTAAAAAATGACAGATGGTGAGATGGGGATTTCTATCCTTGTTTAGAAGAGCTAAAAGTTTCTTTTAAGGGAAGAGTTGCAGAAAGAAAGAAAGTGTAGGTAATAAAGAGTGAGAGCTGCACTAGTTCCAGAAGCATGAATTTCGTTCATAGCTAAAGGCAAATTTGTCACTTAATTAGTAATTCTGACACAGGTAAGGGGAAGACAGCTGCTTTTTTAAGCATTTCATGCCTCACTTGCCCCCAGTTACCAGATGGCTTTGTTGTTGCTGATGGATGAACCAGGGAAGAAGTGGTGCGAGAATCTCCACCCCCACCCAAGGCCTTGAAACTACAAACCAGGATCAGGAATCTTCTGAGGAGTGAGCAGCCTCCTGTGTCACCAGCCCAGTGGGGTGGGGAGCAGGGCTGGAACTGAACAGGTAACATGGCCTCCTACAAGTTTCCTCACAAACTTGTCTGAGAAGACACAATGGGTCAGGAAATGAGTGGCTGCACACAGCTGCCATCTTTGTTTAGAAAAACTCCCAATTATAGAATTGTGCAAGGATAGTGTACGATCTTAAAAGCTGAAAGAAATTCTATTTGTTTGTCTAGAATTTTGGAGTTTTACATTTGTTTTTTACCCATTTTTTTATTACTGAACACTCAGAATAACTGTGGTGTAATGCAGAACTGGGATGGTATTTCCATGCTTCGGATGGGAAAATCGAGGTCTAAGAAAATGAATTTAGTAGGTCAAAGTCTGTAGAGCTAGTTAAAAACAATCACCAAACCTAGTCTCTGGTTTCCCATAGATAGTGCTTCGTCTATCTAATGTAGACATAAATGACCAACAAATGAGTATCAATTTTACTAGCGGTCAGAAAAATGCAAATTAAAATGTCAAGATTTTCATTATCAACTTCATCAACATTGAAAAAATTAATAATGATCATCATTGGCAAATATGTAGAGAAATATACTGTTGTTCATAGTAATAGGTTCAGTTAAATTTTTACACACTTTAAAAAAACAATTCCATTTCTAATAATCTATCCTACAGAAAAAAACCCTTTGTACATAAAGATGTATACACAATGATGCTCATTGTTTAAAGTAGCAAAAAATTGGAAACAACTTTAAAGCGTATATGTATAATGAAATCTGAGATTCTTTTAGAAAGAATAAGACAGATGCACATGTACTGATGCAGAAGTTTTCTCAGACATAATAATGAGTAAATAGAGCAAATTGCAAAACTATGCATATGGTTTCATTTACACATTTCAAAAAAATTATGTATATAACCACATGTGTAAAATGCATCCATCTAGAAAAAATGGTCTATGGGAGCAGAAATCAAACTGAAAGCAATTGTTATCTATGGTGAGAGCATGTATTATGGGATGGGCAGATAAGCAGGAAAATTTATACTTTATATATTTTTGTTATTTGAATCTTTTATAAGAACTTATGCATTATTATAAAATTAAAAATGTTTAAAAGAAAAATTAGATTTCCTAGATTTCTTGCCTCTTCACTCTTGCCATTTCCCTGTGTCTTTTCAGGAGCTCAGCAAGACAACTGTATTTCTCTATCTGTAGTATCTTTATGTAAGAGAAGGTCCTGATTCTCATTTCTCAGGATCATCTGGATTTCTACCATTGCACTGTCAGAGTTTCCTCAATTCAAATACATAATGCCATGCTGATTTTTTAAAAACATTTGTTAATTCAGTGCTTTCAAAATATTTTTGGCAATGAAAATTATAGTTGGAAGTTCAAGGCATGAGAAAAAAAAAAAGTGAAGCACCTTCAGGTGAAGTTGAGGGTGGGTGGGGACTTCTTCTTAACCTCAACATCTTTCCCTGCTGAACTACAAAGAACTGTGACCAAAAATCTAGGTCTCCATGGAGCAGTTTGAAAACACTGATGTCATGTCATTGTATAAAGAAAAAAAGAGTTCAGTGAAGTGAAGTGATTCAACCAAGAGGCAGCCTTTGAATCCAGACATTCCAAACCCAGCTCTATGAGCCTTCCCAAAATGGTGATTCATCCTGTGAGTAACTCCAGTAAGCTTGGCTTTCCAGACTCTTTTAAAAATAAAGAAAGCAAATACCATCTACTCTTTGCTGTTTCTTAATTTCATATACCATCTTTGACTTTTTCCTGGTTGCTTTTTATTCTGATATTATATAGGCAATGCAGATGATGAGACATGAATATTATAGAAGTCTCTCATTGTGTTGAACAGGTAAGGGTTGTGAGTTCTTAAGGAATTCCGTTAGTTATGTGCTAGTGAACCGTGTCAACCACAGTTGAGAAATTGCTTAGGATCTGTTCATTAATACCAGACTCAAACACAGGTGCACAACACACACACACACACACACACACACACACACACACACACACACCACTGCCATCTTTAGTGACTGTTTTCATCAGGACTTAATTCTTCAGGTCAAAGAAATCATAAATTTATGTTCAAGTTTTCACAACCTTTTGATTTATAAATTTTAGAATAGGATTTTTTTTTCTGCACACTTGTCAGACACCTATGATTAACTTCTTAATTACTTTATCTCAAAGATTACTGAGTAAAAACTATATGCAAAGTTTAGTTTCCTTGTACTATTTTACTTTGGAAGATGAGACAGTAAAACTTAAAATCATTGTAACTTATGCCATTTTGTAATATTTGGATGGTGCTCATATTATTCACATTGAGCCATAACGTTCTAGTGCTCAACACTCAGAACTGGTATATGGAGTAGGAATGGTACCTGTCAGTCATCAGTCCTCCTGTTTAGTCTGGGTGAGTGGGACCAGAAAACCTTTAAATAGATTAACCAATCAGGCCATACTCATCTGGGGTTGCTAATTTTCATCAGCGTTAGAGCTGTGAATGATTCACAGGTTTACAACATTGCTTTGAACTCACATCCTAGTTGGTAAGGAAATTACTTAGCAAAGAAAATCACCCTTAATCATCATAAAAGTCAATTTGTTACCAATTAGAATATTGAAATTTCTAAAATCAGGATTCGATCTGTCTCAGTTGGAGTAAAGAGTTCTATTAATTGTGACTGGCATGACTAAAACAAGTTAATCCCTTTAAAATGAGACTGTTTCAAAACATCAGCCTTATCATATAAATTTCAATATCATCATTATGGTTAACTAAGTGCCCTCTCCTCTCTATTCAAGAAGATAAAAATGGAAGGAAGAAAGGAAGGAAGGAAAAGTCATGAAGGAATAATAAAAGCTTCAACATTTGTACTATTGGAATCTCAGAAGAAGGAATGGTAGGATAGATAACAGAACAGTATTTGAAAAGTAAGAGACCCAGAATAGATAAGCAATCCTTAGCAGGAAGAGTGAAGCAGGTGGCATCACTATACCAGACTTTAAACTATACTACAGAGCAGTAATAACAAAAACAGCATGGTATTGGCACCAAAACAGACTGGTAGACCATTGGTACAGAAGAGAGGACACAGAGAGTAACCCACAAAATTACAATTATCTTATATTAGACAAAGGTGCCATAAACATACATTGGGGAAAAATTAGCCTCTTCAACAAATGGTGCTGGGAAAACTAAAAATCCATATGCAACAAAATGAAATTAAACCCCTATCTCTCACCATGCACAAAACTCAACTGAAACTGGACTAAGGATCTAGGAATTAAACCAGAGACCTTGTGTCTAATAAAAGAAAAGGTAGGCTTTAATCTTCATCATGTTGGATTAGGCCCCAACATCTTTAATAAGACTCCTATAAGTACAAGAATTAAAATCAAGAATCAATAAATGGGATGGATTCAAACTAAAAAGTTTATTCTCAGCAAAAGTAACAATCTGTGAGTTGAGTAGAGAGTCTATCTCTTGGGAACAATTTTTCATCCTGCACACATCAGAGCACTAATCTCTAGGCTATATAAAGAACTCAAAAAGCTAAACACCAACAAACAAACAAACAAACAAACAAAAAAACCCAAATAACCCAATCAATAAATGGGCTAAGGACCTAAACTGACACTTCTCAGAAGATGATATATAATCAATCAACAAATATATGAAAAAATGTTCATCATCTCTAGCAATTAGAGAAATGCAAATCAAATCTATTCTAAGATTTCATCTCACTCCTTTCAGAATGACAGCTATTATGAAAACAAACAACAAAAAGTCTTGGCAAGGATATGGGGAAAAAAGTACACTCATACATTGCTAGTGGGACTGCAAATTGGTGCAGTGAATCTGGAAAGCAGTATGGAGATTCCTTGGAAAACTGGGAATGGAAACCACCATTTGACCCAGCTATCCCACTCCTCCTCCGTCTATACCCAAAGGACTTAAAAACAGCATACTACAGGGACACAGCCACATCAATGTTTATGGCAGCACAATTCACAATAGCTAAACTGTGGAACCAACCTAGATGCCCTTCAGTAGATGAGTAGATAAAAAATGTGGCGTGTGTGTGTGTGTATATATATATAATGGAATATTACTCAGCAATAAAAGAGAATAAAATCATGGCATTTGCAGGTAAATGGATGGAGTTGGAGAATATAATGCTTAGTGAAGTTAGCCAGTCCCCAGAAAACAAATGCTAAATGATTTCTCTAATACAAGAAGGCTGATTCATAGTGGGATAGGGAGGAGGAGCATGGGAGGAATAGACAAACTCTAGATAGGGCAGAGGGGTGGGAGGGTAAAGAAGGGAGCAGGGGGTTAGAAATGATGGTGGAATGTGATGAACATCATTATCCAAAGTACTTGTATGAAGACATGAATTGATGTGAATATATTTGTATACAACCAGAGATAGGAAAAATTGTGCTCTATATGTGCAATATGAATAGTAATGCATTCCACTGTCATATATAAAAAATTTTTTAAAATTAAAAAAAAGAAAAGTAAGGACATGAGATTTTCTCCAAATTGAACATAGTCTTTAGGTTAAGTTTTCTCTCAGAGTATTAAGAAATATAATTAAATATACACCTGGAGAAATTATAGTAAAACTTCAGTGTACAAAAGATTAAAAATAAATAACTTAAAATCAATCAGAAAGAAAGGTTATCTACAAGAGATCAGCAACTATGGTCCAACAGCACTTACGAGTAAAACTTTATGATAAAAACAATGAAATAACATCTTCAAAGTGGCAATGAAAAATAGCTTTCAAATTATAATTTTATTGCTGATTAAAATGCAAGTGTGAGAGCAAAATTAAAACATTAAACAAAATTAAAACACAGAAAGTCCAAAAGAATTTACCAACCATATATCCTTACCTAAAAAATCTGGTAGAACATGTACTTTCCGTACAAAGCAAAGAGAATTCAGAAAGAAGGCTTGGGATACAAAAGAGAAATAGACATACACATTGATTAAAATATGGTTGTGAATTTAATAGCTGTAGCAAGTGAAAACATGACAAAACAAACAACAACAACCAAAATGTATATGACTGAACAGCAAGAAAATATGAGATTAACAGAAGTATTATTCTATAATCAGTGCACAAAGGAACAGTGTCTGGGAGAAGAGAAAACATGTTGGATATATTTAGCAATTGTCAGAAAACTTTATGTGCAAGTTAAACAATTAAAGCTAAGCATTAAATTGATAGAAACACTATGTCTAGCTTTAAAATTAGCAGAAGGAGCAAACAGAAATATCAGTTTAACAGAAAGTAGGGAAAGAATAAAAGAAAAAAAGAAAAGAATGGTAAATATTGAAAACATTAAATAAAATGGAAGAAATAAGGCCAATTATATAATCACGGTAGATACAAAGTTAGTGAATTAAACTCAAATATTAGAAGATAGGGATTATTAGAGGAGATTTTAAAAATTCAGCCACATGCTTTTTAAAAATTACAATTGAAATAAAGTCTCAGAAACATCTCGAAAGTCAAACAATACCATAAAATCAACCAAAAGAATGCTAGTGTAGCAATGTGAATATTAGTCTCCTGAGACTGGGAAGAGGAGTGGGAAGGGAGATGGAGAGGTTGATCAGTAACTACAAAGTTAACAATTGGATGGGAAGAATAAATTCTGGTGTTTTACTGCCCCATATGGTTATTATGGCTAAATATAATGTATTATATATTTCAAAATAATTAGAGAAAAGGAGATTTTTTTTCACCACAAAGAAATAATAAATGTTTGAAACTAATGATATGCTAATTATCTTGATTTGATTATTACATAATGTATATATTTATCAAAGCATTATATTGTACTCCATAAATATGTGCAATTCTACAATTTTTTAAAGAAACCCCCCAAAAAAAACTAAAGGTATAAATTAAAATAATACTAAGGACAAAAGAAGAAATCTATCATTTAGTTATAGATGCTAGAGATTTTTAAAAAAATTCTTGTAAAGTTTTTGTAAAACTTTTAAAAATTCTTGTAACTCAATGACTTGGAAGTTGTAAATGAAGTAAATAACTTTAAAAATCTAGGTTTCATCAGAACTGATTCAGAATAAATGGAAACTTAAATAACTCTTGGGGCTGGGGGTACAGCTCTATGGTAGAGTGCTTGTGTAGCATGCACAAGGCTCTGGGTTCAGTCCTCAGCACCATGAAAAGCACAATTGTCAAATAGATCAGATTTGCAATTCATTACATTGCAGAGATTCCTACTATATGATTATATATGTAATACTGTACATCATTGGTGGTGGGAAAGTTAGGAGCTCCTACAGGATCAACACCAGTGTCTTAGGTCACCTGAATTAAACATCAACAAAGAGGGGGATATTTTTGACTAGGATCTCCTAGGATCCCAGTGTTCAGTGCAATTTCTTCTTCAATGTGAGAAGAATAATGTTCACCAAGAATAAAGCAAAAATCAGAGATTAAAGAAATGAACCATGCATTTATTCACTATTTTTCTCTACTCACTAATAAAAAATGTTCTGTAGGCTCATTTCCACGCTGAAGCTCTTGATAATTTGCAGCCAAATTCATTTGAGAATCAATATGTCACTTCTACTTTCTCCCCAATTTATCTTTTGGAGAGTAAAAATTACTCTGGTAGCATAGCAAGAGTGTGGCTCCTGGTGGCTTCACCCAGTAGGTTGGGTACTTTATT